TTCCCCCCCACACACACACACACACACACACACACACACACACACACACACACACACACACACACACACCTGACCACATCCTGTTTGTGTCCGCTGGAGGAGAACAAAGATCAAACAGGTGGAGGAAGAGGAGCAGAAATCTCTGATTACCCAGAAGCCCTCATTCCTTCAGCCAATCAGAGACGTCCTGCAGAGCTTCATTGGTCTGATTATTATTGATCGTGTTTGATATCAGTTCATCGTTGGGTCTTTAATGAAATATTAGGTTATATTCATTTGGAGTTTTATTTTCTTAAAATTCATTTTCTGCTTCAGTTTTTTTTTTGCACTTTAATAAAAACAAAAATAAAGAATCTGATAAAACTAATTAGAGCACAAAAACATTCAGTTTACAACAGAATAAAAATAAACATTCTCACATTGTTAGACGCTGGAACCAGAAAATATTGTGAATTATTATAGAATTCAGTCCTTGATTCCAGAGTTATTGCTGCTTTTATTATGAAGGGGGGGGGGGGGGGGTCTCTCTTTTCTGGGCCGGAAATCAATTAACTCAAGAAAATATTCTAAATTGGGTGGGTGGTTAGTTCTGCATCACCTGAAAGTACCTCACTATATACATACATATATTATAATGTGTTGAATGTTAACTCACTCTGCTGCTGTCAGACAAATAAAGTGCAGTAAAAGTACTTTATTTTCCTTTTAAGAAGTAGAATAGAAGTTCAAATACCTCGATATTGTACTTAAGTATTTGTAATTTAGTAAACTTGTGTCTTGTACTAGATCTCCTGTTTTACCCTCCTCGTGAGGATGTTTCTGATTATTCATAATTGTTTAGTTATGACCGGATGTGTTAAACAAATAAAATACATAAATCTCACCCACGTGCGTGTTCAGTCATTCAACTACAGTTTAAAAGGTCCCGTCGACCTCCAGCCAATCAGCACGGAGCTCGGAAAGATGACGTCTCAGTGGACCAATCACACTCCGTGATGGGCGGGGCCCCGCGAAAAACGAATGGTGGACCTGCTAACGTTAGCTTTAGCTCTCGAGATATAATTAACTTACCTTCAGCAGAGCTTCCAAACAAGATGGCGACTTTTTCACAGCTAGATGCTACTGGCTATGCAGGAAACGCTACTATTTAAGATAGAAACGACAGCTTCCGGTCCGTTTTTACCGTTAAAAAACGCCGGTTAGCAGCGACAAAGCGACACAAACGTAGACACGTTACTCTCAGCGGTTCTTCTAGAAGAGAAACATCTTCTGAAAGTCGACTGACATAGTAACAACGAGCCTAACGGAGTGTTTGTAGCAGCAGGTGTCTCCGTGATTTAATTACAGCTTTATAGACGGCGGGATTCAGCGCCCCCGTGTGGCGGGATGAGTAAACGACATCTGTCAAAGATGATAGATACAGAGTGAGATAGTTCTCCTCCCTCTATCATTCATTCTGGTTGTTGTCTTTTAGTTTATGAGACTGTTTTTTTAAACAATGTATTTATCGTGAAACAGTAAGACAAATATGAAAATAAATAGTTGACAAAACATTGCTGTGGGAGTCTGAAGTCGTATTGGGAATAAACAGGGAGGAGATTATCTCTATTTATTATTATTATTATTATTGTATTTATTTATTTGTCTTTTTATGTTTTAATATGTTGAATGTGTTTCTAGATGATGTACTTTAACCATTAATAACTGATATTGAATTGAGGCCTTCCATTAACAGACCTAATAATTCATATTTACTCATCGGAGATCTTAGATATTATAAAACTCAGTTTTATAATAAAAGAGATTATTTCATCCTCATGTTGACTTTAATGAGTGTGTTCTTGTTTTTATTTATTATTTTAATAAACGGACTCGCTAGCAACAAATAATACTAATAATGATCCTCCTCAGTCTGGTGGTCACGTGACCGTAACAACATGACCTCATGATGAACAACGAGCCGTCTGTAATATCTTTATCTTTATTGTTCATACTGTCACCAATCAGAGCAGCCTCTGGAAGTACTTGTACTGAAGTACTTTAATTACAGATTCACATTTTACACACAAACTAATTAAATATGTTTCATATAGTTCTACATCAACGTTTCATTCATAAAGACATATATATATATATATATACATATACTATATAAATATATATATATATAATATATGTATATATAATATGAACCCATTAAAGAGGATCAGAGTCTCATGTTTCTGATCATGTGACTTTATGATGAAGTAAATATAATCAGTTAATCCGGTGTGATATGGATCTGGACCACGTGAGTCCTGGTGGACCAATGAGCTGCAGCCAGCGGGAGTCACGTGGTCTGTAGGTTTTTCTTCAATATTGTTTTAGGTGCAGACCTTTAGATCTCACATCTCTGGTTCTCGTCTTTGGATCCGGTTCCGAACATGTCCGGGTCTTCTGAGGAGCGGGTTGGATACATCACGCGGGTCCAGAGCTTCAGCGCGTGTCACCGGCTACACAGGTACGAAGAGAGTCCGGTAGGACCGTGAGTACCGTTACAGGTAGAGAGAGGGACCGGTAGGAGGCCGGGCGGAGAGCGCTGGTCCCCGGCGTGGATCCTCCGGGTGTATCCGGTCTACGGAGCTCTTTGAGGCTCGTTCAGTCCGGAGCTTTGATCTCCAGAGACACCGCTGGTGCTGCCTTCAGGGACCGTCTAAAGTGTAGTAAAAGAGAAAGTTCTGCCCATAGAATTCCTTTATTGTATTTATTTATTGTAGAATGTATTTTCCTCTACAGACAGATCTTAAATGGTAAACATAAGACGATAGTTAAGTTAATAAGAGTTTATAATTGTTGATTTATGGTCCATACTAACAAACATCTTTTCATATATTCAGTTGTATTCTTCTGTTGGTAAACTTTAATAGTTTTGTATAAAATAGAAAGAGGTTATATTCCTGTTTTATTACTTTATTCATTTTATTAAAGTAACGATGAGGAACTTTCACTCTGTGTTGATGCTGTCGCCCCCTGTGGACCACAGTGGTAGTGTTCCACCAGAGCCCCTTTCGAAACCCTCTCGTTCTACAGCAGCAGCTCTGATGGTCTGAACCTCTTCACAACCTATGAACTCTGAGACTTGAGTGTCCCAGCTGCACCTGAAGGCAGCACGACACACACACACACACTTCATGATGATGCTTCTTCTTCTCTGCAGCGTTCACCTGAGTGATGAGGAGAATAAACGAGTCTACGGGAAATGCGACAACCCTAACGGACACGGACACAACTACAAAGGTGTGACTCACTCGGTCATGTGACCCGGGACAGGAAGTGACTCATTGACTCAATCACTCATTCAATCACTCATGTCCTCTTTCTGTCCACAGTGGAGGTCACAGTGCGTGGAAAGGTGAGTATGTAAACACACACATATAGATGTGTGTGTATATATATCTATGTATAGATGTGTATATATTTGTGTGTGTGTGTGTGTGTGTGTGTGTGTGTGTGTGTGTGTATGTATATATGTATTTATAAATAAACTAAATGGTAGATATATCTACTGCTGAAGAAGTCACACAGGATGATGAAGAGCTGGGTGGAGGAAGGCCGAAGCAGCTTTAATGAGTAGACCTGTATGAGATCTGACAATTGCCATAGAAGGAATCAGCTGATCTGAAGACAGCTAGCAGCTGATCGATCAGCTGCTAGCTGTCTTCACATCAGCTGATGTAGCTTCAGATGCTAACCCCAGCTAGCTGTCCTTTTAATCTGGAGTAGAGTTTACATAGTCCATCATTTCTCTTTAACTTTGTTTTTAGATTTATTCTGTAACTTCTGTATTTATTCTATGATTTAAATATATTTGCTAAATAAAGACATAACTCGAAGGCGTTGTTTGCTCCTCAGATCGACCGGCTCACTGGGATGGTCATGAACCTCACCGACCTGAAGAGATGCATCGAGGTGCGATCATCTTCATCATTAGACGGCACACAGAGCTGCTGAGTGTTTCTATTGGCTGATGTAATGTCTCCGTCCTGCAGGACGTCATCATGACCCCACTGGACCATAAGAACCTGGATCAGGACGTCCCGTACTTCTCCAACGTTGTCAGGTGAGTTTCCTCTGTCTCCTCATCAACTAATAAAGTTGCGTCTCTGTTAACAGTAGTTAATAAAGTTTTGTCTCAGCACCACAGAAAACGTCTCCGTCTACATCTGGGACCACATGGTGAAGGTTCTACCTCCAAACCTTCTGCACGAGATCAAAATACACGAGACGGACAAGAACATCGTCGTCTACAGAGGAGAGTAGAGTGATCGTCTACAGGATGAGATGTTATTAAAGTACTGTTCTGACATGAAGTAAATTAATTCAGATATGAAACATTAAAGTTATCATCAGAGGTTCAGCTGGAGGAGCGACGATGATCTCACTGTTCAGAGCTCTGGATTATTTATGACAATAAAAACATTTGTGGAACATTAGAGTGTTTGTTTTGTCTGAAAACATGAATCGACTGTTAAATAAGAATTGTTTATGTAAATGTTTAGTTTGATTTGCACAACAATTGAGAAAAACTTTATATGAAAACATTAACTTTCTGGAAAACAAAAAAAATACGAAGTTCAGATCAGAAGTAGCTCTGCAGAGGTTCTCCCAGGATGTTCTCCATCTCCTGAACCACCTTTTGGACCTGCTGCTCCACCTCCTCACACTCATCTGGAACACACACATCACTCATGAGATATACTGTATATTTATTAGTGCTGGGCAATGAT